TCTGTCACGTGGTTATGTAACTTTGAATGTAAATTCTGTTTCCCAGAATTAATTTTTAGTTTCCTGAGAGTGGGAACTGTACATTTTTATTCTTTTTAGTTTCTTATGGCAGCTGACATATTAAAGGTATAAGAAATGATTTATTAATGAATGAGTGAATGTCTTCAGTTTGGGGCCTATTAAAATCCAGGCTCACTTCTACAATTCTAGCCTGAACTTTGGGGCGGAGGGAGGCGGGGGGGGGGGGGTTGTGTATGTACAAACTAGTCACAGATAAGGTGTTTTTGTTTTCTTCTGCTTGTTTGTTTATTTTTTAGATTTATTTATGCATACAAGAACTGAGGTGTAAGCCAGAGGTGTGGGGGTGGTGGGTAAAAGTATTCATCAGAGACAGAGTGGGGAGCAGAACAGGTGGATCTACTGAAATACACTGCTGAGGAAAGCCCTGGGGCAAGACAGGAGAGGTCTGCTGTACCATGTGGGTCAGCTCCATGGCAGAACTCATGCTGCAGTGGCTGCCAGTAGCTTCATAGAATTGAGACTTTAACCCCTGCACTGCCAGGGAGGCCCCACATACAGATAGGTTTTGATGGGCCCTAAGAGGTGTATTTGTAAGGTCACGCACCCTCAATTTTTACCCCCTCTTTTACTCCATATTCAGACCCAGTCCCTGAGATCTCAGATCTGCTCTTTCAACTTTTCTGCTCAAATGCTCCCTTAAGGAACTATGAAAAACTATATATTCCCCTTACATACTACTGAGTCAACACCAAAAATTTCTAATCATAAGTTTTAATATTGCAATGAGTGTACTTTTCAGGGAATTGCAAATACTTTCATAGAGTCACATCACTCTTTTACATGTAACAGAGGGAACTTATTATCATATAGCCTTTCAGATTCATTAACCCATTTAGTAAATGAACAACAATACCTTTAACCAGTCAGTAAATTTACCTGATTACTTTTTAGGGTTTTTTTTTTTTTCTTTCATTTAGTCTACTTTCACTGTAGTTTGTTGTCTTCAAACAAAAAAGCAACAAAATGGGTTTATTTGAGAACAACAACAACAAAAAAAAAGGCTGTTTGGAAAATGCAATGCCATGGAGAGACACAAGTGCATTGCCTAGGATTAAAGCCACCAGCCCTTTATAAAGCCTGAGGGAGCTGAGATGCATCCTTCCTCCTTCCCCTGGGACTGGGAAGTAGCATCACTTCCTGTAGGGGATGCAAGGCATAGTGGGTCCTCCAGTTTGATGGTTACAAATGTGTGGGCTCTCTCCTACCATTCTGAACTCATTTGAATGTGATTTTTAAGATATATTTATTTATGCATACAAAAGCTGGGGTACAGGCCAGAGGTATAGATCCACCAGAGACAGAGTGGGGAACAGAACAGGCAGATTGACCAAAGTGCACTGCTGAGGGGAGCAGTGGGCGAGTCAGGAGAGGTCTGCTGTGCCATGTGGGTAGCTCCCTGGCCTGCCAGAGATTCGAACTTGTGCTGCAGAGGCTGCAGACAGCTTCATAGATTGTGTCTTAAACCCTTGCGCCACCAGGGAGGCCCTTGGATGAGATTTTTGTATATTAATTTCCACAAGTTTCATTTCAATAAAATACTTTTTCACTGCACCACTTTTTTTGTATTTTATTGTATTTTTTGGAAATTCTTTTATTGTATATCTCTGTAACTATATATACATATATATATATAAATTTACTTTCTGTGTCCATTAAGACTTTTAAGTGTTAAAAACAGTTATTCTGCAGTGGGTTTATAATTACAATGATCACAAAACACAATTGATCAAGGCAACAAATATCCACAATGATTAAACAGAAAACAAATATTATTTGAAATAAATCAACAAGCTCACTGCCCAGTGTGCATAGAATCAATTATTATTATGAGCCCAGAGTTTGAGAAAATAAATAGCTTTATTAACAAGGGACTGGCAAAGGGCCTCTCTGATGGCGCAAGGGGTTAAGCACAGCACTATGAAGCTATCCGCAGCCTCTGTAGCATGAGTTCGAGCCCCCACCAGGGAACTGCCCACCCGCATGGCTCAGCAGACCTCTCCTGACTCTCCCGCTGCTCCCCTCAGCAGTGTATTTCAGTCATTCTGCCTGTTCTGTTTCCCACTCTGTCTCTGGTGAGTCCTCTCACTCCCCACACTTCTGGCCTGTACCCTAGTTTTTGTATCCATAGATAAATAAATCTTTAAAACAAAACAAGGGACTGGCAAAGAGGCAAGAGGAAAACCTCAAATTACCTCACCAAGGGCAGGACTTTGGGCAATATTTAAGTAGTTGGGGAAGAAAAAAAGTATTAAAAATTTATAACTTGGTAGAGTCTGGTTGCTTTTTGCTGAATTTGGTGTAACTAGAATCTGAGTCAAGAACTGCAACAAAACTGAGTACCTCTTGCTTCCAAATGCTGTCTCACCATGAGCCAGGCTTTTCTGTTCCATTTCCCTGTTTTTTTCTCACTCGGGGCAAAGAGGGGTCACCCTAAGGACAGCAAATGCTCTTCTGGCCCTGTGCTTTGAAACACAATTTCCCATCTTACAAAAAATCTTTTTTTGTTTGTTTGTTTGTTTAAAATGGATTTGGGTATTTTCCCTTTTTGAAGTTCACCCTGCTGTACTTGCAAGATACATAGAAACAGGAAAGACCACCATGGTTCATTAATGAGATAGACAGGACAGATTTCTATTTCTTATTGCCTTTCCTTTGCAGCACCAGGAAGTATACCCTGGTCAGGGTGCTAGAGAGCACTCAGCCTTTCTCTGTCTAGTGGGAAAGGATGGCTTGTTAGTGGAGGGAGGTGGAAAAGAAGAAACTGTCCTCAGCAGATTTATTTTAGGGAGGGCACATATCCTTCTGAAAATGGATCCCCTTAAAATTTCGTCCTGCCCACACCCCTGAGAAAGTTTTCATGGTCAACCAGGGCTATGCAAACTCAGGGGTAGCTATTAAAAGCTCAATGGGGTTTCCTGTTCTCAAAATAAGGGTCCCAACACGGGAGAGCGCTGAGCCTGAATGTCCCTCCCATTGCTGTTCCACACTTTTGTGCATATGGTTAAGACAGGAACTCAGATTACTTCCAGATCTCTGTGGCTTTTTGTGATAGAGGCTTGAGGGGAGGGGGTATGTGAATGTTGTCCTAGTCATCAATTTGACCTAATCATTGTCAAAGAAGCAGCCTAGATTCAAAATTAAGAAGATCAAGATGGGGGCCTCCCGGGTGGTGCAGCGGTTGAGCTCTGGGCTGTGAAGCTGCCCGCAGCCTCTGCAGCACCGGTTCCATCCCCGGCCGCCAGCGAGGATCCCACATGGCACGCAGACCTCTCCTGTGGCGCCCACTGCTCCCCTCAGCAGTGTTTTGTCAGTCTGACTGTTCTGTTCCATTCCCTGCTCTGGCTCTGGTGAATTCTCTCACCCTCCTGCGCTTCTGACTGTACCCAGTGCTTGTATAAATAAATAAATCTTAAAAAAAAAAATCAAGATGGCCGTGAGCAGCTTCCAGCATTGGGGCTACTGCAGCCAGCACCTTGGCCAGCGCCTCTGTGGCACCCATTTTCAGTCAGGGCATGAATGGGGCCAAGTGGAGGTGCATTGATTCCAGTTAGACATCTTGTGGAACAGACACGAGAGAAAGATCTGGGCAATGTTTGTGACGAATGTCCACATCATAGACCTCAGGGTTGATCTTCTGGTCATTAAGGGAAAGATGGAACCAGAGGAAACGATTAAAATACGGAAGAAGCATAAACATGTATGTGATTCTGTTAGCGGAAGCCACACAGAGGTGGGCCAGCAGGCAGGCAGGCTCTGCAGGAACAATTTCCGCTCAGGACTCCATCCCCAACTCCAAACTGCAGACATCTCAGGCACTTAGCACTACAACTCCCAGCAGGCCGTGAACCAGACTTCCTTATGGGGGGCTTCTGAGTAGGAGGAAGACTGCACAGGGAAAAGGACTGAAGCCAGGATGGGAGGATGGGGGCCTTGGCAGGTGGCACAATGTGACTCTCTGAGAAACTAGCGCAGCCACCATTTCCGCCTGGTGGATTCAGCTTGGGGTGGTACATTTTGAACTTTGGTTCTCTCTTCTCCCAACCCTTTGAACTCTGCACAAACTCTGCCTTGTGTTTCCTGCTGGCAGATACCTGGGATTATTCATTCTCCTAATCTCAGAACTTGGTTGCTTTGCTTTGGGTCCTGCCTAATTGGTCCATGGCGGGGGGATGGTTAATTTTGGAGTTTAATTGGGAGTCTGTATTTTGAAATCCTTCTCTCCCCTACTTCTCTTCTCCCTCTAGTCTCTTTGAACCTCTCACTGATTAAAAATCATTAAGCACACTAGAGTTTGAACACTTTGCTTTGATGCTTACAGGTTGGGTACCAATCCTTAGAACAGGCAACCTGGGTTTTTCCCTTTTAGCAGTTTGGGGTCCCTAGGCACTCCTGGGTTTTGCCCATATTAGTTCTTCTGTGAAGCAAAAGTACCAAGGCCAAAGATTTTTTGTCCAAGTTCTATGTTGGCCACAGCCCGAGAAGTCACTTACAAAAAGGTGCATGTTGATAATTAAATATTTTAGAGTACAAATAAATTCAATGTATAATAGTTAAAAAAAAAAGACCCCAGGGCATAGGAGTTAAAGTCTCAGCTCTATCAAGCTAGTCACTACAACATGAGTTCAATCCCCGGCCAGGGAACTGACCCACATGGCGCAGCAGACCTCACTGGACTCACCCACTGCTCCCCTCATCAGTGTATTTCAGTAGATCTGCCTGTTTCTGGTGAATCCTCTCACCCCCTGCACCTCTGGCCTACACCCCAGTTCTTCTATGCATAAATAAAATAAAATAAATCTTTAAAAAAAACAAAATTAAGAAAACATGGTTTTTATTTTTCCATTTGATGGAAGCACCATAGTTTCCTGACACTTCCCAGCCGATGGCCACCAGGTGGCAGCAGAGAACACAGTGTCTCCAGCTCCAACACTGCCAGGGATGGGGAAGAAGAGGTGCGAGGGGAGCGGACTGGACATGAGGTAGGGATGTAGTTTATGCTGTCAGAGAAAACAGGAGGGAAAATGAGGGGGCTAAATACAGATCTCAAGAGGTGACAGAAGATATTGAGAACGATCCCTTCAGGGTCAGAATAAAATGGAAAGAACAAGAAAGGGAATTAAAGAGGCCAAACTGGGAAGACTCAAGGGGAATCAGAAGAGCAGAATGGGCTCAGGTGCTCTCTGCCTGGACACCAGGATGCCTGGGGTGGGGGTGGAGGGCCCTGTTATCTGTACTCTTCCTGGGGTGGGTCAAGGTCTGGCTCCTCCTGAGATCTGTGGTCCACCTCAGGGGCTGGCGGCCAGGGTTTTTCTGGAGGCTGGGGTCCTGCAGGCCAGGGGTCATCAGGCCGGGGAGGTTGAGGAGGATTGGTTGTGGGGGGCTCAGGAGGCCAGACTGCAGGCTCAGGCAGGTCTCTCCAGGGGCGATTGAGGCCTGGAGATGGAGGATCCTCAAAGAGAGGGGGTGCCCCTGGCCAGGGGTCACCAGGGATTGGGGGGCCCTGAGGCAATGTTGGGGAGGCCTCCTCCTCACTGGCCTCTGTGGGTGGGGGAGAGGGGTGGTCTCCACTGGCTGAGATGCCTGTAGAGGAGGAAAGAGAAAAGTAAGAGGTGGCCATTCCAACTCCCCCCTCCACTTCAGCTACAGACCCAGAGGATACCCTTCCTGCGATTGGCCACAGCCCAAACTGATCCCACAAACTCACCTCTCAAAGACCTCTCCAAGCACTTACAAAATACCTAAATCATTTTAAAGCTTGAAAAACTAGTCCTGAACAATTAGCTGGATCAACTTTAAATTGGTAGGAACCCCCCAAAAAAGTTCCACCCAACCTTGGTTGGGACTCCCCACTGGCATGGCACCTAAAGTGGTCTACACATGGACCCCAAGTGGCCCCCGGCCCCACCTCTACAAGGAGCTCCACTCTCCTCAATGTGGTTCTGATGAATACTCGCCTGCACAGCTAAGTTCTGATCTAAATGTCCATGTGGAGCACACCCAATCAGCACGGGTTTAGTCTGAGCTAAAGTGCACTTTCCCACATAACCTTAACTCTTAACTCTTAACTCTTAGCAGCCCCTTAACTCTTCCCTGCATGTGAATCCCCAGGCTCTCCTCCATCCCTGTGCATCCAGTTTACCCTCAGCTTCACCTCATCTTGACCACCCCTTATGACCCCAAATTGCACTCTTGGCCTCCGTTTCCAGCTCACCTCCCGTGCACAGGCAAAGGACCAGGATCCCCAGCAGCTTCCAGTTGAGCGTCATGGCTGTCTCTTGGCCCCCAAAGTCGGGGGTGGGCTGAGTCTGGGTGCCTGGGAGCTCCAGGAGGCTTTATAGGGGGAGAAGGAGAGGAGGAGGCCAATCTCTGGGGAGGGGCCAGCCCAGTGACACAAGGATTTCCATCAGGACATAACTGGTCCAACTCGTTTGGAAGGCCATGCTGATGTGTAACATCTGCTGGTGGCGTCCCTTATTTTAGTCAGTCAGCCCAGGACCCAGGCTCCTACCTCTGTGAATGACCTAGAACTTGGTCACCCATACTTGTTTTCCTGTTCCCGTCCACACACACCCTGCAGCAATCAATACCCACGTGTCATCTCTGTAATCACAGGGATTCCCACCTTTTATCCCTTGAAGCCATTAGGAGCCAAGGAATGGGAGCAGGACTTGCGTGGGGAAGCCGTGTAATTACAGGGACCAGGACACAGGACGCTGGGGAAAGGGGTGAATGGGGAGGAAGGGTTGCTTCCTTTAAACAGCTGGGATGCAGCTAGGATGGTCTCAGGTTGTACCCCAACCTCCCCCCACACCTTGAACCCTCCACTAGGCTAAGTTCTTTCCCTGGATAGTGCCCCCAGAACCCAGCAGGCCACTGTCCTGCACAGCAGCTCCAGGTATGCAGGGGCCTCCCAAACAGTGATGTCCCAGGAATTTCATCCAAGTGCCATCTGGAGTGATTGCAGATGAGGAAGGAAACATGTAGACATTTTGGTTCCTTCTCCTCAGGGATGACTCGATCCTGCCCAGAGGCTCAGGAAGAAGCTGCCTCAGCAACCCATGCTGTTAAGTTCTTCCTTCTTCCTCTGGAATCTTCCTCATGCCCCTCCTACCCTGCTCCTGGATTTGCCACCACCAGCCTCCCCTCACCCTTCAGGGGTCATCTTTTGGCCAAGTCCTCAGGGATACTCCCAGAACTTCTTCCTCAGGAAGGACTCCTCTGTCTGAATCTCTCAGATGTGTGCAAAGCAGAACTCACTTCCTGCCCAGGCTGTTCCCTGCTGGTCTGCTTCTGACTGTCCCTCTTGGTCCTCCGCCTTAATAGGCCTCCATTCTCCCGCTCTTCATCCCTCCCCCACACCCAAACCCTCCTTCCCAGAAGCCAACACATGCCTTAAAAATGTAAACCCAGTTGTGTGGCTACTCCCTGTTATTAGTAAGTACTCCAAGGGCTTTCTATTAACTTAGAATTAAATCCAAACTTGACCAGCTTTGGCCTCTCTGCAGCCTCCTCCCTCTCCCCCTCTAACTTGGCACAGGCCTCCACTCTGGGTGGGCGCCCATTTTGTTCCTCATCTCACTCAGATCTAGAACAATGTCCCCTCCTGAGAGTACTTCCCCACCCCTTCACCACCACCCCGCCCCCCCACCATATAATGCTGGCCCACATCAGAGTCTTTTCTATGCCATCATGGTCATTTATTTTCTCTTCATAGCACTTGTTTGAAATGCTCTTGCTTGTTCACTTACATACTTGACACGGGCTCTCTCCCACAAGGATGTGCCTGGAAGCAGGGGCCTGCCTGCTCTCACTCCCCACTCCCCTTGGCTGAGCAACTTACTTTCCTCACTCCCAGCACTGATCATCTTCCAGAGAAAGAGTTTTAAGATAAAAATTGAGAAGAAAGGGGCCTCCCTGGTGGCGCAGCGGTTAAGCGCTGGGTTGCGAAGATGCCGGCAGCCTCTGTAGCGCCGGTTCAATCCCCGGCTGCTCCCCAGCCAAGTCCCACATGGAGCGCAGACCTCTCCTGCCGCCCGCTGTTCCCCTCAGCAGTGTACTTCGTCGCTCTGCTCCCCGCTCTGGCTCTGGTGAATTCTCTCACCCTCCCACGCTTCTGACAGTACCCAGTGCTTGTATAAATAAATAAATCTTTAAAAAAAAAAAAAAATGAGAAGCTTGAAGGTTTTTTTTTTAAGATTTATTTATTTATTTACACAAGCACTGGGTACAGTCAGAAGCGCGGGAGGGTGAGAGAATTCACCAGAGCCAGAGAGGGGAGCAGAACAGGCAGACTGATGAAATACACTGCTGAGGGGAGCAGCGGGCGTGGCAGGAGAGGTCTGCACGCCATGTGGGACCCTCGCCAGCAGCCGGGGATTGAACCGGCACTGCAGAGGCTGTGGGCAGCTTCGCAGCCCAGCACTCAACCACTGCACCAACAGGGAGGTCCAAGCCTGAAGCTTTTAAAAAAAAATTTCCTAAGCAGGGGCCTCTCTGGTGGTGCAAGGGGTTAATGAAACTGTCTGCAGACACTGCAGCACGAGTTCAATCCCCAGCCAGGGAGCTACCCACATGGTGCAGCAGACCTCTCTCTGCTCCCCTCAGCAGTATATTTCAGTCAGTCTGCCTGTTCTGTTCCCCACTCTGTCTCTGGTGAATCCTCTCACCCCTGACACCTCTGGCCTATACCCCAGTAGTTTTATGCATAAATCTTTAAAAAATAAAAAAAAATACACTTTAAAAAATTTCCTAAACAGCCCAGGTATGGGGTTTGGAAAATGAACCATTTGGAGAAAGAGCTTTGTGTGAGACCACTTCCAGAAAGAGATGGCTACAGGGAGAATTCCCTCATATTATACCCAGAGAAAAGGAGGCCAAACAGTGACTGCTTCTGTATCCTCTTTATTGAGCCACAGAGTTCACACACATCTTGATGGCTGCTGTCCTGGAAGGCAGCCAGATGGGGAAGAGGTCCATGCTGACTCCCTAACCCCCAACCCCACTTCTCCATGATCCTCTTGCCCCAGCTTGGGCCACCCTTGAGCAACCTGCTCAGCCGTAGACAGGAGCCAGAGAGTTCTGGTTGTCTCCTTGAGAAATGGCTTCCTCTTTGGAAATGACCTCACTCAGGCCCTGTAGGTCATCAAGCAGGACAGAGAGGGACCCTGGGAGAGAAGACCCAACAGATAGGATCCAGACAAGAGAAGGCTGTCACAGCTACCATGAGAGGAACAGGGTTGCCCTTGGAGGTGGAAGTTATAAAAGCAAGTTCTTCAGGGCCTCCTTTGTGGCACAAGGGGTTAAGCACCATACTACAAAGCTATCTGCAGCTTCTACAGCACGAGTTCGATCCCCAGCCGGCCAGGGAGCTACCCACATGGCGCAGCAGACCTCTTTTGTCTCACCCACTGCTCCCCTGAGTAGTGTATCTCAGTCTGTCTATCTGTTCTGTTCCCCACTCTGTCTCTGGTGAATCCTCTCACGCCCCATCCGCCCCCCACCCCTTGCCCGCCCCTCTATACCCCAGCTCTTGTATGCATAAATAAATCTTAAAAAAAAAAGAGCAGGTTCTCCAGTCCCAGGTGGGTGTGGCTAGGAGGCCATGCGCCTCCTGGGAGTCACCAGGACAACACTCCCGAGTTCAGGAGTATCTGGGACAGAGGTCTCTAAAGTCCCCTCCTTTACCTTTTATGGACTCCCTGGTAGAGAAAACCGCTGCTGGAGGTCCAGGTGCTGATGACCTTGGGGGCTTGGGGCTGGACTCCACTGGTGTCCCCTTATCCAGCAGGGAAGGAATAACTGCCAACAGCCGCTGCTGCTTGTAACGGGAGAGGAGACCCTCCTGCTGCAAGGTGGCCTGGGAAGGAGAGGGTTAAACGCCACCTAGCCGGGCAGAGCCTCCTCCCCCTTCTCCTTCCACACCTTCCCTCCCTAGCCAGTCAAGAGGGCTCTGGCCTCTGGTCAGGCATCCCCTACCAGCATGATGTTCTTGTCCTTCTCTAACTCCTGCACTCGCTGGGTCAGCCGCAGCACCTCCTCCTTCCGGGCCTCCTCCTGCAGGCGCCTGAGCTCCTGGTTCCGCTCCTTCTCCCGGGTGGCTTGGCGCTGCATCTGGCGCAGGGAGACCACTATGGGGAAGCCAAGGCACAGAGGGGACTGGTGTGGGAGCCACTTATACCCTGTGACTCTCAGTCTCTTGTATGTGGGGGTGCATGGGTGTGGGTGGAGGCTGATGTTCCAGGATCCTAAGTCAGCGAACCCAAAACCCAAGTACCTTCCCCATCCCTGGGCCTTCCTGGAATCTCTCGGGGGAAATCTGAATATGCACTGGACATTAGGTTTCCTGTAATTAATGTTCATTTTCTTTCTTTCTAAAGATTTATGTTATTTATTTATGCAAAGTAGAACTGGGGTGTAGGCCAGAGGTGTGTGGGGGGGGGGGTGAGAGGATTCACCAGAGAGAGAGGGGAGCAGAACATGCAGATCTACTGAAATCCACTGCTAAGGGGAGCAGCAGGTGAGAGGTCTGCTGCACCATGTGTGGGTCAGCTCCCTGGACTGAGATGGCAGCGCTGAGACTTAATCCCTAGGCCCAACGTTCATTTCTTTCTGATAATGGTATTGAGGTTATATCCATAAAAGAATATTTCCCCTTTGTAGGAGACAGAGCTAAACATATTTACAGCCTTAACTGATTCAAAAAAAATGTATATATCGTATATGTATATAGAGACACAGAAAGGTGGCAAAAGTTATTAACTGCTACCTCTAGTTACAGAGGGTGTAACTTGTCTAGGTGTTTGGAATTTCTCCTAATAAAGTTGGTGGGGTACTGGTTGGCATGAGATGTCAGGATGGATGGTGGAGGCCTCTGTGGGAGGGTGAGTGGGAGGAGCTGACCATGGGGTTGCTGGTTCTGGGTGCTGGCTATGCAGGTGGTTCTCCACCTGAGAATTCACCTGTGTTCATTCCTTGGTAACTTTATTACCTGTACACTCCCAAAAAAGCTATTAAAAAGTTTCTGAAACACTTCCTAGAAGCCCATGTCTACCCTGGCAAACCTCACCAGCCTTGGCGTGCTCCCTCCGAGCATCATTCAGCCTCCTTTCTGTTTCTGAGAGCTGTTCCCGTAGCCGATTTTCCACTTCGGTCACCTTCTCTTGCAGAGCTGGGGTGAAGTGCAGATACTGCATGTCTCAGAGACCTGGCTGGCAGTTCCCACCCCTTCCAGGATAGGCCCCAGTCCCCTCCTGTGCACCTTGCCCGT